TATATAGCGATAATTGCGCTGGACAAAACAAAAATTGGACCATTGTATGTCTGTGGCAACAACTAGTTAAAGAAAGTGTCTTTGATACAATAGAACATAGATTTCTAGTAGGGGGACACACGCATCTTCCTTCTTATCGTGACTTCGCAATTATTGAAAAACATAAACGCCGTTATTTAAATCAGGTGCATACTCCTGCTGATTGGTATCAAGCAGTCTTAAAATCAAAAATCCTTTTAATGTCATTGTTCTACAGCAACAAGATATTTTGTCTTTTAAGGATTTACAGATCCAAAATATTACAAAAAAAAACGCAAACAGAAAATAAAGAAAAGCTTAATTTCAGTAAAATCTGCACATTTAAATTTACTCACGAGACTCCAAATATTATGTTTTATAAACATCTTTGGCACGAATTATTTAAATATGTCAATATTAGTAGGAGAGGTGTTAGAACTGCAGTAAACCTGAATGTAGAGATTTAAAAATTAAATATGATGCACCCATTCCATTAAATCCACAAAAAATATCTAATATTTCGATGCTTCTTCGCTATATACCACCTATTTACCAGATTTACTACAGAGAGATTGGTGTTGTTGAAAATACGGGAACAGATAATGAGACTGAACATTTGGATGACGATCTGGAGAATGAAAATTAAAGTGATTTTAAAACAATTGTAAGTATAGAATTACAATTTATGTATTGTGTTTTTTATGTTTAGTACTGTATATAACTTCTAATATTATGATAAGATACCTATTTTACAACTTGTTATATTAATATTTTTTTTTGTAATAAAGGTGCAAGCCACATTTTTTAAAATTTTTATTGTTTTTTTTTTTACAAAAACGACTTTTTAAAATTAGCTTAGCGTTTCAAGGATAGTAGATATACAGTTTTCAAATAACACCATTTACTGAATTTCTAATCTATATTTGGTATTTCAGGATTTGATTAAAACCTTTATAATTGATTTTCTCAAAAACTTACTTTTGTGGCATGTACCGTTGTTGCTCTAAGGTCTTCATATATCAGTATAAAGCGGTAATGAATAATTCATTCCAGTTAGAATTTTAATCCAGTCAAATACAATATATTTCGATGATATAGTTTTTGATGAATTTGTCCAAAATACAGAGAAGTGATAGGGTCCAGAAGTCCAAAATATAGATATTTACAGCTGACTACATATATGTAGGTAGCTCCTATCATATTTATTTTTTTTTGTTCCCACGTCCTTATAAAGATCTATTAGACATTATATAAAATTACGTTGCTACATATAAAACGAAAGATGATTTTACAAAACCCTCGCCTGTAACATTTAGTACAAATATTACTAAAATTCTAGAAATAACTTTAAGGCATCTACAATATAAATAACATCATTTTTTATTTTATATACAATTAAAAATATTGCGGTGAATAGATCTAATATAAGCAAAGAAAACAATATCCTCGTGAGACTTTTTTTAAATATTTTACACTACATATTAAAACTTATCACATCTGAAGCTCAGAACAAAACATTGTTTTCAGTGTAAAAAGGGGTGTATATTTAGACTAACACTAAATATTGGATAGTGATTACTATTTAATATTTAGGACTGAAGCTCTCATTATAGAAGCTTTTTAATAAAACTGATTTACTCTTTTTATTATATTTACTTTAACACTTTAAAAAGATTCCAATTATAAGATATATTAAAAAAAAGCTGGAAGAATACTTTTGTACTTTTGAGAGTATACCTCAGGACATGTAAAAAATATTTACTTCTGAAAGATTATGCATTTTTATAACTTATTTCTGTTGTAAATCAGATCTGCGCTTCATTTTTAATCTTTTCAGGGTTATAAAGGGTTAAAATGTGCATATGTTATTTTCTGAAATTAAAATAAAAAAAAAAATGTCGAACCTCAGCTTGTTAAAAATCATATAGCACACACAATAGGTTATCTGATTTGAAATAGAACAGTTTATAAAACCCTTAGAATATCTCATAACGTTCACCGTAAGTAAAAAGACAAAAAGAAAAAGAATAAGATAGAAAACTGAACGATAAAATGGAATAACTTGTACAATAAAGTTTTAATAAGACAAAGGAAAAGTTTTAGATGGTACGGAAAAATTACTGATCGTTTCTCGTTAAAATTATTTCTTTTACTCTTTTCAAAATAGTGGATGGTAGAGATGTTTCAAATTACTAAGTATTGTAGAATCTTATTGCGTTTAATAAAATAAAATATCGAGTTTTCCAATATTAAAAATAAAAAGAAATTTTTGGTGATTATATACATCATAGTGGTAACATTGTGTTTAAATTTATAATGGAGGGTAAAATCAAAAGGCGCATGTTTCAAAAATATAAAACCTAGTAAACAGTGACCTATTCCGTGCAAACAGTTTATTCAGATTTTCTCTTTTAGTTTCTCTTGTACAGCTTTCATAAATACTTTCTATTTTTGGGTTGGTCTATCTTAATGACGTTAACTGCTTCAACTGATCAATTAAGGGACTTTGTAGTAAACAATGGTAAGGGAAAAATTTTGATTTTTCGCGAAATGTAAGTAATATACATATATGGTAAGGGACATTGTAAAGCAGAAAATTGCTCTTAGTTTATCCTACTAATAATAGATAGCGCCAGATTATTTTTTTTTAAATTGAATAGCCACGAAAATAAGTGTCCATGATGGTTGAAGACAACGCAGTTTGTTCAAATCTAAATAGCTTTTTTTGCTGTTAATAGTGACAATTCTGAGAGCTACGATGAGTAAAACGCAGATAAAAATCCTGAATTTCAAGTATTTAGTCAAGATAGCTCGATCAGCTTTCTACAAAGAAGGTAAATTTCTTTATATCCTTAGAATAAATGTTCGCAAGTAAAAAATGGTAAAGGATGTACTTAACATTGTTTACATCCACCTTCATTTTGCATAGAAGCTTTTTTAATTGCAAACATGAAAATGAAGTCTGTTTTTATTTGAATGCTTTAGAAAACTTGAAAGAATACCAAGTAATGCCTTCTCATACACATCCAGGACAGGCACTGAAGAAGAAGAAGAGAAAGAGGAGGAAGAAGAAAAAGAAAATGGAGGAGAATTAAATAAACAAAGTAAGCAAGAAAAAGAAGATACTGTTTAAAAACAACATCTAGAAAAATGAAACGCAATTTATGTAAGGAATTAAAAACTAAAGAACTCGGAAATCACGGAAAAGAATATAATCAATAATGGGGCAAGGGAAATATTGTTTTATCAAAAATACAAGATTCGCCGTGTAGTTGCCCCAATAATGCTACAAGATATTTTCATCTAAGGACATTTTTTATTAATTTTTGGGACATGAACAATTTTGATACACAAAATGCTTACTTACAACTTTGTATGCGATCTAAAAATGTGACTAGAAAGAAAACTAAGGAAGTAGTGTCAAAAAGATCTCAAACTAATTGAATATACATTAAAATCACAACAAAAATATGTTAAGGTATGCAAAAAGGCTTTTCTAAGTATCTATGGCTTACAGAAAAATCTAGTGAAACAATTAAAACTTGGACCACTTACTCCAAAATCAGATCTAAGAGGTCGACATTCAAATCACCCTAAAAACTATTCCAATTCTAATACAGATTTTCTGAAATTTTTTATTGAAAGCTTATCCAAGTACAAAAGCCATTATACCCGCGCTGACAGCTCTAGAACATATATAAGTATGGAATATTCTATTCAATCTTGTTATGCGAAATATGTACAATGCATTTTAAAAAAGAAAACTCAGTTTCTGCTGATAAATTTCGCAGAATATTTACTGAAGAATATAAGTTTCAAACTCCAAAAATCGATACACGTCAAGCGTGCGATAAGTTTTTAGTAGCTTTAGATGTTAAGCTACTTAATGATGAAGATGAGATTAAAAAAATTAAACCTGAATGAGAACTATACCACAGAGGAGCTGAAGCAGATCAACTGGCAGTCAGAGACGCAGCAGAGAAAGCAAGCTTAAACCCAGATGTACGTAGATGCAATGCAAGATTTGATCTACAGCAAACCCTCCCCACACCACGCTTACCACCGGCCCCATGTTATATAAAAGAAAACTGTGGTGCTATAAATTAAGCATACATCTCTTGGGGATGGCCATATTATATGTGGGATGAATCCACTGCTAAAAGAGGGACGGACGAAATGTACTTTGAGAAAAACAATATTCGTAACAGAAAACTAATAAGCGACAGAGACCTTTCTGTTGTCGAAAATTATGTCAAGAACAACTGTGAAATAGTCTATTCGACCAATCACTGGGAAGATATTTTGAAGAACTGTCAGACGAAGAAACCTTTTCTTGTAACTAGCATCCAGCAAGTGGATATATACGATTTTTCATTACTGAAAAGTTATATTAATTTTAGAAAAATAATATTCGTGGCAGAAAACTAATAGCCTTTTCAGACAATTGCTGAGGACACAATAAAAATGATCATCATTGATCTTTCTTTGTCTTTACCTTTGACAAAATGAATATTTTAAAGAAATAGCTCATATCTCAGATAGGACACACAATGTTGCCGTGACAGAGACCTTTCTGCTGTCGAAAATTATGTCAAGAAAAGCTGTGAAATGGTCTACTCGTACAGACTCACTCAGAATAACTGAAAGATGTAAAGTCATTTTTGGAATGGATTCCAGCTGTTTACCACGAATGGTATATCAATTTAAAATAAACTCGTAGTACCTACCAAGTTATGAAGAATATGAGAATATTTTTTCCAAATTCAACACTTCAAAATTTCTGAATTGCTCCTTACCATTTTTATTGCTGGACCCCTCAATTATATATAAAAGTATCTCCTTTTAAGGCATTTGATGAAACTGATTGATTAGTCACAAATCACAATGAAACAACCAAACTTGTCACAAACCAAAATGACCTTAATACAGAAAGATACATCAAAGTAGTTTTGGACCAAAAAGAGACTAATATTTTCATGTACTACACTATTTCTGTTGTTTCATATATTTATAATAATACAGCTACAACATTTTAACTCATAATAATTTATAGGATGATCATGATTTACTAGTCTGAAGTCTACAGTCTTTTTTTATTAATCAATGACACTAAATTTACAACAAACAAGGGATTGGACTGTACGTTTTAAAGTACAAAAATTCGTTGTATTTTAAGTGATACATTTGTAGTCTTTTGGTTTACTCTTTCTCTGTTCAGAAAATAAGAACTTTTGGACCAAGTTACTGCTGATTTTAACCCTATTGAAAGTTTTGTTCAATAGAACAATCGGTTAAATATACACCCCGGAAGATATTATACTGAAAATAAATAAAGGAGCCAAGATTCAAGTCCATACATCCATTAATTAGTCACATATCAAAAAGAATCTAACAACGGGCAATAAACTGCAGTAAAATATTTTTTACACCCAATTTTCTACCACCACGTAGTAATTTATATGTACATTGATAGTTAATGCCATAAGTAATTATCACAAAATGGAAAATTAGTAGCTTTTTTTTATTATAATCGAAATACAAGATGTGGTTCAATAGAGGCTAATCTCTGTTATAGTTCAATGGTGGAAAGAACTGTAACTGATAGTAACCAGTGAGTAAAATCTTGGGTTATGAGACAGTTCATTAACCAATACTAAACACTTATGCCGTGATCTGTCGGTTCCATCTTAAATACCGAAGAATATATAGAAATTAAATTAATTTAGCAAGCGCAGCTATCACCGTTAGTGTTGGTTTTCTGTGCCTTCGTGAGCTTAATCTCATCGGGGAATTCGTTATACAGATCGACAGTTGTGTTCTGTTGGGCAAGAGCGTTTTTGGCAATGGCCAAAAAGGCCTGTTCCACGTTCAAGCCATCCTTAGCCGATGTCTCGAAATAGGGGATGTTGTTCTTTGATTGGCACCATTGTTGCGCCCTCTTTGGCGAGATCGCCCTCGGCTCGAGGTCGACTTTGTTTCCTAGGAGGACGAATGGGAAGTTTTCGGGCTCTCGGGGTGATGCTTGGATGAGGAATTCATCTCGCCAACTGTCCAGGGATTTGAATGAGGTGGGGGAAGTTACATCAAATACTGCAAAAGAAAATAGTTTAAAGTAGATCGATAGAATGTTTATTGATCACATTTACAAAACATGTTTGTTTGAAGTTCTCCAAAAAAATACAATAAAAACACAACGTAATATAGAATAGAAATATAAACATAAAATAAGGGATCTGACACTAAGGGGAAGCATTGCTTTCTTATCTCTACGCACTTTTTTATTTAATTTATTTTAATTTTATTCTATTTTATTATATTTAATTTATAAGCCACAATTTTATTTAAAAATAATTGTATTCGACGTTTCGATTTCCACTCTGGAAATAATTCTCAACATAGGATACATTAATAAATTAAATAAATTTTGTTTTTGTTACTTGGTAAAAAAATCTAAGATATAATTTTATCTGGTTTGTGTTTCCAATGGTTGGCCACATAGATGGCCCTGTCATTCGCTAAGAATAGGTCTTCTTCTGTGCAGGTCTCTCTCATCTCTGTGCATGATAGTAGATAGTAGATGGTAGTATTCTGAACCACGCCACAGTCGCAGGTGTCGTCCTCCTGGTATCCCCATTTCTTCCGGTTACTAGCACAAAGTGAAACGCCAGTTCTTAATCTGTTTAGCGCTTTGCTTGTGGGATATATGCAAATTGTGTCCAGTGGCCATTTCCTCTGAGGGAGCAAAATGTGTTGAGCTGACGATTACCATAGGTGTATTCGGCGCGTCTTTAGCTCTTCGGGAAGAGATTGTGATTTTTTTAAAAAGCTTTTCCGAGATCTTAATCTACTTGCTGAACTTGATGGTCATACAAGGAGTGTCTTCGATCCGTCTCCTGCTTCTTTCGTTTTATCTTTGACGTGACCTGTCTTCTGATAGCAGGTGGAGCGATTCCAACTATAAGGTAGACCTCTTCGATAGGTGTCGGTTTCAGTCAACCAGATATTATACGAACCGTTTCATTTAACGCAACATCGACGTTTTTAGCGTGAGCAGAGTTTTCCTAGAGTGGTGCTCCAAACTCGGCGGCAGAAAAACATAATGCTAAGCAAAAGCACGGAGTGTTATTATTTCTGGCGCTTACTTTTTTCTTGATACTTTGACAGTGATATTGATAAGACAGTGCTATCCAGACGTACGCTTAGGTATTTTGGCGTCTTATTGTGTTCCAGCATCTGACCACGCCATTCCACCTCCAGTATCTTTCGGGCATACTTGTTTCTAAGGCAAAAGCACACACCTGTGTTTTTGTAGGGTTGGGTTTCAGACAGTTTTCGTCATAGTATAGTGCTAAGTCTTCTAGAGCAACTGTCAGGTTTACTTCGACTTCATTGAAGGTACTTCCCTGAGCTGCCACAGTAATCATCACATCATTCGCGTAAATAAACTGTCTTGTTTGGGTTGGTCGTTGGTGTAAATGTTGTATAGCAATGGCGCGAGGATACTTTCCTGTGGGAGTCCATTTTTTTTTATCCTTTCACCGACTGTTCTTGGACTTGAGCGTTACGTAGAAGCGTCTATTCTGGAGAAGACATTTCATTAATCTTGTTAGTCGGAAATCCTTTGTAATTTCGTAGAGTTTTACCAGCAGTCGTTGATGTTTAACTGTGTCATAGGCGGCAGTCAGCTCTATGAACGCTACTCCTGTTATTTCTTGCCGTTCAAACCCATTTTAAATATGTTGGGTGAGATTAAGAGTTTGACTGCAGCAGCATTTTCCGGGTCTAAACCCTGCTTGTTTAGGAATAATTTTAGTGGCCACAGATTCAGCGATCCGGTTCAGTAAGGTCATCCCATAGTAAATCATATGGAAAAACCAGAACATAAGCAAAGAGGAACTGAAAGCTGGAAAAACTTTAAAAAATCCAACGAAGCCTTTGGAAAACATGATATATTCGTTCTGTGCAGCTGAATGGAGATATACGTCACGTTTAAAGCGCTCATATCGGCCAAATTTGTCATCACCGTAAGGTCCGCTTGCCATTATGCTAATTTCAGTATTGATTTCAGTGCTAAATATATTAGTTCCATGTCGATTTCGTATGAAAAATGTGGGTTTGTGTTTGCAAGTATCGTAATTTTATTAGCATGTAGGCATACACTCTACCAATTTTTTTCACCAATGATGGTGAAAAATAAGTTAAAATTATGTGTAGTAGCTTTAATCGTAATTAAATACACTTACATAATTAAATACACATAGAAAAAAATCATACACTTCTTAAAAAAACCGTTTAAGCAAAGGAATATTGAATATGTTGAATGAAATATTATTGAGAATACCCTTTTGGCATACAAAAACTGTTTCTTCTTCAGCCTTAAGTAATCCAACTTTGGACATGTAATGATGAACAATCCGCATCTAATTTGTAGGTAGATTTTTTTTTAACATTTTTAGTATTAAATTCAAATAATAGCAAGAAGACCTAATATAATTTATAATTATACATTATAATTGTTCAAGTTATTTACAGTAATAGTAACAGTGATTGCACTTTTATCGAGTTCCGAGTCAAAATCATAAAAAGCATCAATGCGAACTGTAGATTGCAGCTATAAGGTCTAATTTTCAGACCGTAGTTTTAAAACAGTTGCACCGTCGGCGCCGGCTCTAAGAAGGTAACAAATAAACGGGAAGTCATCAAAAATGCACGGAACTGCACCGGAAGTGAAAAAATTATTATGACCGTGATTTGTATCGGACGGATTCTTGATCAGCAGCACACTGATCACGAATCCGTTGGCAAAATAATTGTATATATCGTTGTTTGTGAGTTATACAGTTTTTATATTAATTTTCTCAGAACTGGAAGGGAGTACAGTAGAATCTCACTAATCTAACCTTAAAACGTGCACGTGCGTACATATTTATCTGCTGTTTTCAGTAAGAACATTGCAGTTAAAAATGTCAAGTAAACTTAAACACAAGATTCTAGTTTTTAATGATAAAATGAGCAATTTAAAAAGGTAGTGGAGAAAACATGTGCAAATTGGCAAAATAATGTAGTTGGGCATGTTATTATACACGATTTTAAGAAAAAAGCAAACAATATTGGACCACGTAAAGACGATGAAATCTAGACCAAGAAAGCGTAAAACATTAAGAGTTCTTGAATGTCCAAATATGGAAAACGTTCTTTACACGTGATTCATGAAAAAGTGTTCTAAAGACATTCCTGTATATGGAGAAATTCTAAAAGCAAAAACAATCCAATTTTATAAAAAAATACAAAGATGATTTATGTGTAAGTGTTTTATTCAGCCATTTACACAGCATTTTAAAGACAGTATAAGAACTGTATCTTCTTCCTGACCAAATCTATAATGCAGACGAGAGTGGTCTGTTTTGGAGACTGTTGACCGATAAAACATTCGTATCCTCTAAAGAAGCGACCGCTTCTCTTTTTCCTTTTCAGGCGTCGCTGTTCCTTATCTTCTTCGGAACTCATTTCTGTCTACCGTGTCTTCTTCATTTAAATCTTTCTCTCTTAAGTCCTCTGCCACACAGTCTGCTACAATCACATTTACGCCGTGTTTAAATGCTACTGAAATACACAAATTTGATTTGTTAGTGATATAGTAAAGCTAAAAACCCAAAGCTTTCAAAAACCTTTGTCTACAGGTCTGCTATCAGAACCAATTTAAAAGTTGTGTCACGGGAGGGGTATTTCGTGAATCGGTACATAAAGAATTTGTCCCAGAAGTGAAGAAGTTTGGGAAAAGATCCAACTGGCCCATGACAGCATTACTCGTACTTGACAATGATCTATAATAGACCAGTTAAATCAAGAAGTCCTTAGAACAAGTTAGGGGGATATCCAAACCATCTTCCTACCACTAAACTGCACACATTTATTGCAGCTGATGGATCAAAATTTTCTCCAAAAGGTAAAGTCCTAAAAAAACAAATTGTTCATCCATACTATTTCTCAGGATGGCAACATAATTTCTCATTTCAAGAGTCAGAGTCTCAAAAAATTTAATTTGAAGGATGTTGTTTTCTCTCTCCTCACCCCTGGAGCTTGGTTTCAAAATTTATTAGAAAGATGAATCGAGACAAATGAAGAAGTTTTAAATTCTTGGTTTGAAGGGACCGAAGAAACAGAGCAAATTATGATAAAATGAAGAAATATGTGAAACAATATAAAAAAAAGATGAAAAAGAAACAATTAAAAATTACAATGAATTTAATTGTTATTACTTATGGCTCCGGTTATTACTTACGGCTCAGAAACTTGACAGTTGACAAAAAAGTAAAAAAAACGACCTATACCAAAAATAAAAACGACCTAATAGAAATGGACTTTTGGAGAGGATCAGCAAGGAGATATATACTGGAGCATATCAAACACCATTAAATTAGAAAGCAAATGGAAGTAGAAAAAACGATAATACAACGTATAGAAAAGCAACAATTAACATAGTATGGACACAGGCGAATGGGAGAGGAACGACTCCCAAAAAAGATATTGGAATGAACCTCGTCGGAGAAGAGGAAACTAAGCAAACCACCTACAACATGGCTACAACCGAATCGCCAAAGGAATGTCAGAACTACATTTAGGTGAACACGACTGGTGTGATAGGCTTGGAGACAGGGAATCTAAAGCCGTTATATGAAAAACATGAAGATAAAAAACAAAATTTTTCGCCGTTTAAGGTAAAAAGTTTTACCACTTTAAGCATACTAACCAAAGCAAAATTTCGATTAAAGAAACTAAATTAAACAATATAAAACTCGTGTTAAAATATATTCCGGGAAACCATAAACCATGTTAGTGACATTTCAATTGTTCTTCACTTTTAAATAAAATTAATAGCTTAATATGGTTATACCGGCTTTTTATTATGCTCTCCTTAGTCGTAAAATATATCAAAAATCGTATAAAACTTTTACCTTGAATTACAGTATAATTAAAAACAATCAAAATTATGCGTTTTATGGTCAACACCGCCTATTTTTAAAATAAAAATAATCTCAAAATTTATTTACCTACAAGATTATTAGTGTCTATAAATACTGAAAGACGAAATTCGTCTTATCGAATCATCAGAGAGTGCACGAGATGCAAAACTCGCTAATCGACAAAAATTGAAAAAAGTAGTTAAGCACGCCATCTTGTTCGTACAATATTTAATTATTATTTTATACAAGTATTTGGAGCAAACCTAGCTTTTTAACACACGAAAATCCGTCCCAAAGATCATGACTTGATGCAAAACTTGCTTTATGCATTGATGAGTGCGATGCAAAACTCTCTATTTGTACGACGTTCAATCACAGCATCGGATTTTACTCACGTGGTTAGGGAAGGGCATCATGCATGTTGTTTGTTTCCTGGTGTGGTTTGATCGTTTGACTCAGTCGCGTTTTGGCGGTATTCTGAATTGTTTGTTTAACTTGAAGTTTCTCGTTTTTAAAATTATTAAAATGCATATAGACAGTGAAATTTCTGCAGCCAATGATAGTGTTAATTCTGCAATACAATCTACTCCAAAGAACATGTCTAGAACGAAAATTACGACGGAAAGTAAAAGACAAAAGCTCAAAAGATTAAGTTAATAAAAACGATATCATTTGTTAGAATATTTTTTTAAAACTGTGTTATTTTAGGCACACTCCGACACATTTACCGGAGTACCCGACCTGTGGACATAACGGTCAGCCAGGTAAGCCGTACTATTGTGCCATTTTAACAATAAGCGAAATTCAAGATTTTCATAGAAAACTGTATGCTTCTAGGGAAAAATGTAGACAAGATAGTTTTATAATTGCAACTTGTGAAGGCCAGAAGTGCAAAAGATCAAAAGTGGAAAAGGAAAAAATATCCATTTTGTATTATGTAACCACTTCTGCTAAAATAATCCGTGTTTGTAAGATGGCATTCTTAAAAATCGCATCCCTTAGAAGAGATCGGATTGAGAGAGTCATGAAAAAATTTGCCTTTACCTAAGCTTCTGGATCAAGCTAGTTATTTTAGTCAACAAATTCACTATTACAACTTTACGGTAATTCATGGATCATCAGCAGCACAGTTGGTTCCAGAAAATGTTTATTCATATGTTTGCACAGAGGTGGATTTTCCCAAAAATTCTAATTCGATAGCTTCAGCTGTTTTGGATGTACTGAATAAGTTTAACTTTCCCAATGAAATCGATCATCATCATCATCATCATCAATCAGCCAATCGCGTCCACTGCTGGACATAGGCCTCCCTCAGTTCTTTCCAGTGTTCTCTACACTGGGCCGCTTGTAGCCAGTTTCCCGCTACACGTTTAATGTCATCGGTCCATCTAGTCGGTGGTCGTCCTCGGCTTCTTTTATAATTTCTAGGCCTCCATTCCATAATACGTCTTGTCCACCGT